GGATATTTCTCTTTTTTGTATCGAAAAAATATTGAACCGTGAGACTAAAGTATCGAAACGAATTGTGAATTTTCTGTATCGTTGCACCCCTTATATATAATTTAATTTCTTAAACATATTTATTTTTTCCTCTTCCTTCAGGTKTCTTTAAATAAAGGGGCCTGGTCCGGCATCCCTGTGGTCAGTCCAGTTGTGTCTTCAGCCTGTGGACCAATGGAAATCGAGGCTCTACCCAGGAGTCCAGGAGGAGAAAAAAGAGGGTCGGTGCCTTTTTTTTTTTTTTTTTAATTTGTCAGCAAACGTAGTTTTATTGTTTCAGTCATGCATATAAAAGCTGTAAACCATATTTGAAGAAAATCTGAACTGCTCACTTTCAGCTAAAGCCAAGTAAACAAAATCAGATTAGGAAAAGTTGGACCGAGCTTTCTGGTGCCTGCTGAGTGCTGAAAGCAGTGGGTGGATAGTAAGGTTATAGTAAGGTGTGTTTTTCATGCTGTAAGCTGTGTGAGTGGCTTAGCCTGGCTTATCCACTGACCCAGTATTGCTGCGACTGGCGAAAGGACAACAGAAGGAAGGATGAAGTGTGCATATTTATGGTTGTGTCTACAAATACAACTCATCATTTAAAGTTTTATGCACATGCAGCACATTTTAATAAGCATGTGTATTCTACTATATTAAGCCTACAATGTTTCCTTGTTTGTTCCAGTATTAACATGTACTGAGGACAAATGGTCTGGACTGCTGGGTAGGTACAACCAAACGCTGAACCTTGAAAAGGCTTTAGCTTTAACCAATCAATCGCTGTGCRGTGGCAAAGCTTTGTGATTTGACTTTTGGGGAAATATTTTCTCGCAGCGGACAGAACGGCTCGTTGTGATTGGCTGTTTGTCTACTTTTTAATCAGCATGAAACGCCAACCGAATCGGTGGAGGAGGTAGTGTCGTGATTTTGGGGTGCCGTGTGGGAATCTTGTTTTTAGTAGCATGAATAATAGATGTGATATGATTTCAGCTTCTTGTCTATTTTTATTTTTTGGTGTCTTCTAGAGTGTAGGTGTCTTCTAATGTGCATCCTGTCCAGCTTCTCCTCTGCATAATACTAAAAATTAATTTATATACAAAAAAATAATAATAATATCTCTGGTAGGGCTGGGTGATAAAACGATGATGTATCTAACGACAGAAACTTAATTATCAATAGAAAAGATGTTTGATAGAACGTAGATAATATAACTTACGGAAGTTTACAAAATTTGCGTATGGAAAAAAGAAGTTACGGACATATCGGGACCAGAGATTGTGACGACTCAAGTCTGCAGCTTCAAAATCGCTACCCACCTCTTCTATCCAAGCCAGCAGAGTTTATTCTTTGTGTCTTCCTCTGGCTTTATAAAATTTACGAAATTCACTTATGGGCGGAGTTACGCACCTGAAACAACATTAGCTTCTGAAGCTAACCAGTGGCTAAAGCCAAGCGTCAAACTCACTCACTCTTTGGTAAGATAGAAACAACCTGTTGAGTTGCGTTAGCATCAGTTTCATGTTTCGCTGCTGTGACTCATAACTGCTTAAAAAAATGACATGGAGTGAAAGGAGAATGAGTGTAACAGCTCAAGATGAAGTTGCGGATAAAGGAGAAAAAGTTACATCACCATCAACCTTTTTTCTCCTGGTCTTTATGTAAAACAAAAAACCAATCAATAATTATCGATATGAAAAGCCTCTATCGTGATACATTTTTCTGCCATATTTCTGGCCTTAATCTCCAGGTAAAATGAATGAAATTAGCACACAGTTAGCTAAAGAAGATAACAGATTTGTATCATAAGTAGGGCTGCCACAAACGATTATTTTWATAATCGATTAATCACCGATTATTTATTGGATTAGTCGACTAATCAGATCATATGTTAATTGAATATAAAACATAGAGCTTATTACGTCAGAATGCAGCTGCTATTGTATAACCATCATTAGATTTTAGCTATATGCTAACTAAAAATAATTGCTGTGGAAGGTAAGTTCTGCTCTGCAGATATTGCACAGGTTTCTCTTTAATTTTCTTAAAAAGTTCCCACACTTTGAGCTCTGTTGCCGAGTAGCCATGATACCAGAGCCTGTCTGTGTAATGTCTTGTGGCGTCCACGGCCTACCCCAGTTACCACTACTGTGCATGTGTGTCAAGGACAGAAAGGCAGATGTGGCAGTGGAAGATGTCAAAGCAGTTTGGAGAGAAAAACAAAGAACAAAAAAAAAAAGAAAACTATTTATTAAATTAGTCATCGTTTATTTTAATAATCGATTAGTCGTCGATTAATTGATCTATCTTGGCAGCCCTAATCATAAGAGTAGAAAAGTTATGCTAATAAAACAGAACTTTTGCAGAAAAAGGAAAAGAAAAGACAGCTTTAACAATACATTTGCTTGTAATTTCTGTGAAGGAGCTCAGTTGATTTTAATAACCTGATTTAAAATAATACATTGCATAACAATGACTCAATAGATAGGGCTAGATCATTTCTGCACATAAACCCTTTTCTTTAATGCTTTCTTTCTTTATTATTATTATTATTATTATAATTTTCAGGCTCATGCTTGTCTTTTCCTCCATCTTTTTTGCTCCCATGTTAAACAATCCACCTCTTTTTCCCCCTCTTTTCTAGTATTGATTTTAGTTTTACTCACACACACATTCACTCCCATGTTTTTATGTATTTGTTCCCTTCTCCTTGTCCTTCACTATTTCCCCACCATGTTTTCCTCAGGTGTCCACCTTCCTCCATCCATTCAGCTGTCCATCCACCCCGCCCCCTCTCTCTTCAAAGCTCAGTACAAGGATCTGAACACGTCCGACCAACAACTCCCTCCCTGCCTGTCCTGATGACTTTGTTAGCCTGCTGATACACGGGAGTGACTCTGAATTGGTTTAACTTTTTCCTTAAAAAGTTTTTTTTATGTTTTTGTGAAGGAACTTACTTGATTTGACTACTTGTGCTTTATTATGTGAAACATTGCTTTCTTCAAACTTTTCTCCTCTCCATCTCTCCGTCCATCACTTATCTCGTTTTCTTTGAACAGGAGGAAGTCTAAACTTCCTCCCTTTTTTCCCTTTAATTTTCATAACTTCTAAACATTCCTCCTTTTTCCCCCCAAAGAGGAAAAGTATTTGACCTTCTCCTCCATCCTTAGGATGAAGCTGGCGGACTGCAGGAAGATGGTATCAGTGCAGGAATTTCATTTAGCTCTTGACTCTTCAAGACAAACATACAGTACTGTGCACGAGTTTGAAACGTTGCTTCCAGGGAGCCATATTGTCTTATAATCTTGCTCAGTGGTTCTGCAGGCTTTCTGAAGCCCCTTCAAATGTTTTATTTGAACTTTGGCTGCTTCTGTGCTCTTTGTGCTCAGCCCTTGTATCTGATAATGACAGTATAGTGAGCAGCTGAAGGAGAAATGACGATGTGAAGAATTTTCTTTTAATAATTTTTTATATTGTAATCCGTAACTAACCACTGCTGCCTTAGATGAACTCAGATCTTTAATAAAGTATTTGTTGTACAAGTGATATAATTTTAAATTTCATAAACAGCTTCTGTTTTAAAAGGGAGTTGGACAAGAGGGCTGAAATCTGTCACCAGTTTGTTTAAAAGTGTGGAAAAAAAAATATAAGCCACGGAACAGAAACAATCTTAATTCTTTAAAAGTGTTACCTAACCTCAAAGTTACACTAGATGCGGTTCCGCTGCGTGGCACAGTTCGCCGTCGTTTGTTTGTGCCCCTATTTATACACCGTCCACTCCGCTGCGGCGCACAGAGGAGGTCCAAGAAGSGTGTGCAGGAAATGCGAGATTGCGCGATAAATCCAGTGATAAATGTGGAAGTGGAAGCRAAATAATTCATTCTGTGGAAGACKGACTCCAAACAGCTGAAACTGCATCACTGTCGTCTTTTTGAAATTTCTGATTTCAGAATAAAATCCGCATGTAGTGGTGGGCAGCATTAATCTAAAAGTTGCGTTAACCCTAAAGCACTAACTCAAATATTTAGCTCCCCAAATTCCAATGTTGTATAAAGTACCGCAAAGTGATACTTGAGTAAAAGTACAAGTATCTTACCAAAACATTACTTTGGTAAAAGTTAAAGTC